AAGTGCATCTCCCTTACTTACCTGCCTCTCTGATCCAGAGTTTACTCCTCTCTAGGCTTTGAAGCTTCATGGGGGTGTTGACATCCTGGTCGCCAATGCTGCTGTCAACCCTTTCTTTGGAAACATAATGGATGCCACTGAGGAGGTGTGGGACAAGGTGAGAGCAGATTAAAACAGCAGGGGTGGCTTCAGAAAGCTTTCAACACCAACTCAGTCTGCTTTTAAAATGCATTTGTCAAGTGCAGTGTAAATGTGAGGACTCATCACTATTTGTCACACACCTGGAGTGCACCTGGTAAAGGGCAGTGGGAGGCGGTTCCGCTATCCTTGCCCTTCCTTCTCTTGTAGTTCTGCTCCTCCCCAATTTGGTCCTTTTCCATTTGCTGCTTGCTAGCTTTCTTTTACTTCCCTCCCCCAGCTCTCTCCTCCCAACGTGCTTATCCATGCTGCTCTTCCTGGTTTATTTCCAGCAGATACATGGCAGCTAATATGCCAATAACTAATACACTCTTAAACAAACCCACCCGTCCCCTTTTCAGCTGCCAGAAAAGAATGATTTTTCATTAGTTAGGAAACTTTAATAGCTGCTAGCTGAGTGAAATACCAATTCTGGTGAAATGACCAAAGTTGCCATCTTTGAAAAAGACCAGTACTTTTTTCTTCTTAACTGCAATGTCAAGAAAATCTGAGACACAGATCTCTAACTTTAAGTGCTGGGATATTGGTTTTATTTGAACATGTATAATCTATATTATATTTATAATATACTTCACATACCTACATTCTTTAACTATAAAGCCTTAATTAAAATATTTGTCTTTGTTTACTAAGATTAATATTCTCACGACTTGGGAATGTTACATTTCTGATGACCTCCTATGGATCTGCATTTATTCTGATGTCATCAATAATTTCCGAACACTGAAGTTTAAGGATACTAAAATATTATACTTTATCAGTGTTTCACAGACATAAACACCAAAGTGCCAGAATGGTCTTCAGTGAGCCAGTTCCTCATTCTGATATTCTTTAAAGCAGAGAACCATCTTTCACAAACAGTCTGAATAGAGACCATATGAAAATCAGTTTTAAGCCAAGTAATTTTTCTTTTCAGTTTGCAGGTGTTTTAAAATGTCACAAAGTATCAAAGTATCAAATCTGGATGCAATGGTGGATTTATTATTGAACTCTGAGTTTTTTTTTAAAAAAAGATATTTTGGGAAATTTTGTTAGATAAAATTATTATTATTAATGTTACATTTCCTGAGTATGATAGTGGACTGTGGTTGTGTCAGAGAATACCCTTATACTTAGGATATATGCTAAAGAATAGGGATAGAGCATTATGATATCTTACCTTCAATGGTTCAGAAAAAAAAACATATAGATAGATACATGGATAGGGCAGATCAGCAAAATGTGAGCAAATGGCGAATCTAAGTGAAGGACATCTAGATATTCCTTGTACTTCTATTTCAACTTTTCTGTAAGACTGAAATTTTTCAAAATAAGAAGTTGACATGGGGAGAGTGGGAATATCCTAGCAGTGTCTAGAACAATGTAAAAAGTGTCATACATTTGTTTCAAATTACAGACATGAGAATTTTTATATAGCCTATGGCCCAGCTCCCCCCAAAAATGCCTCCTCGTGATCCCACTTTCCACTAAATGCCCAGCCAGGCAATCCGTCCTGGAGGGCAAAGAACATCACACTGCCTATTCTCAGAGGCCAGAGAAGTGCTGGAACAGCCCCAGGTGCCTGAGGTCAGACCCATTTCCCTGAGAAGCACAGCCCACTTTAGGAACGATCCAGAGGCAGACCCAAATTCATCCTCTCCCTAGCTGAAAGAAACACAGAAAACCCAGCTCAAAACCGAGGCAGTGCTAAGAAGTCAAGTCCATTCTGAGCTAAGTCATACTTGGCTGGTTAAGAAACCGGATGAACCAGGCCCCTTTCTTTCTCACCGGAGCCTAATGTGTCATTATCGAGCTGAATAAGCTGGTGAAAGGCACTTCTTTCTGAGCCGCAATTTCTTCACTTGTGAGGTCAGGGTGGATCACCTCTGAGATCTAACAAACCAGATCCTAGGAACCCTACTGTAACTCCTCATTGCCCTGCCTCCTCCAACTCGTTTCTCTCATATGCTACCTCCCTTTCTTTCGGTTTCAGATCCTGGACATTAATGTGAAGTGCACAGCCCTGATGACAAAGGCAGTGGTGCCAGAGATGGAGAAACGAGGGTACAGAGAGTGAGAGAGAGACTGGGTGCGGTGGGACCCTACATAGGGCTGAGGGCTGTGGTCTCTACTGGGAAAAGTATCAGCTTTCTTCTTTTTCCAGAGGCGGCTCAGTGGTGATTGTGAGCTCCACAGCAGCCTACCACCCATTTCCTGTAAGAACCCCTTTCTCTGCTACTTTCATCCCTTCCTCCATCCCATACCTTCCCACCTCTCCAGTCACCCTAAGAAGTTTATGACCCCTTTTGGAGTCACACCACCAAGTTCTTCCCCTCAAAATAGATGCTTCGCATGCACAAACCCCACCGTAGGGGAGGTTTAACCACCAGACAGTTTCCTAACTGTGACCCCTCCTTTATGGGAGATGCCCTATTGACCACTGCCTTTATGTCTAATGATAAGAACCAAGAATGAACTGGAAACTAACCCATTCTCTCTTTTCTTCAGGGCCTGGGCCCTTACAGTGTTAGTAAAACAGCCTTGCTCGGCCTCACCAGGAGCCTGGCCATAGACCTGGCCGAAAGGAACATTAGGGTGAACTGCCTGGCACCCGGACTCATCAAGACCAAATTCAGCCATGTGGTGAGGAAGGGGTGATCCCTGAAGGGTATCCATCTTCTTGGATCTGCCTAGCTCCTGAGCTCCCAGCCACTTTTATCCCACCTCCCTAGGATTTTCCATCACTCCTCCACATGCCAGCCACTATCCTCAGACCAGACCCCCATACACGCTCACACACTCCTTTCTTGAGGAATAAATGGAGACTGAGGAATTCAGACTCTACTCATACCATTTTGTATCTCCTTAAGCGGTGGGAACTGGGGACACTTTACTCTTTGGAGACCCAGCAAAATGCCTCACTGATAAGAATGAAACAGAAAAGTGTGGTGGGGAGAGACTGGGACCTAGGATGGGACAGAGTGAAAGAAGGAGTCTCCTCATTCTTACTCTTAATTGTGAGAACAGGCAGTCTCTTCTGGCCTCTGTCTCTCAGTTTTCTCTTCTGTCACATAGAGATTTCACCTAACTTCTTCCTTCTTCCTGCAGTTGTGGATGGACAAGGCAAGACAGGAAAGTATAAAAGCAGCCCTGCATATAAGAAGGTAAGGCTTGTCACAGGGGAGAGCTTGGAGGGATAAAGATGGAAAGGTTTCAACTCTGACATAGCCCACAGCTCGCTACCCCTCAGTCCCACAGTTGCAGGCATGCTCTCCCCTGGCACAAACACACAGGCTTCACAAGTTCATAAACACTGTATCATTGCAGTGGAGTGTGTAAGGAGTCGGCTTCCATTGCAAAAACCAAACACAGAGCTCTGGGAGAGGCCCTGACTCCTTTCTCCACCTCGGTGTTTGCCTCCACCTCTGGGCATGAGGGACACACAGCTCCTAGACCAAAAATAAAACCACACCTTTTTAGTTCCCCTTGAATAAAAAGAGTCATGCTTCCAAAGCTCAGGCTGCTGATTCTACAATGCAAATAAAAGGAATGAAGAGTTTTACTAAGCCCAGAACTCTCTTTGCCTAAGAAAACTACCCTCTTCTCCAACGGGCTGGCCAAACTGTACAGGATCCTTCATCTGGCTCCCTTTCCTTTAAGCTTCTTGCCTCTACCATGTAGCTTCTGGATATTCTCTTGTTCCACTCTCTTCTCCATTTTGTCCCCTTCAAGGACAAATGCCAGCAACGGCTAACTTTACTGATCCAGACATCCCAGACCCCCTCAAGTCCTAAAGCCATTCAGATGTTAGGCATGAGCTGCAGCACTAGTTCACAACTCATTCGTAAGTCAGGGTATGGACATCCCTTGAGTCCTAGTTAATGATCTAGCCCCAAGCTTCTCAATCCTAGTTGCACATTAGAATCACCCAGGCTGCTTTTTGAAATTGGTCCATGGTTGGACGTGGGCATCTTTTTTGTTGTTGTTGTTAAGCTTCCCAGATGATGACTGCAATGGGCAGCTAGGATGGGGAAGCACTAATCCAGACCTTCTAAGTTTGAGTTACTGGCTTTACCTACATCTAGAGTATTCTATGGCAGTTGGGTCAAGAGTATTCTCTAACTTGCAATCACTCATACAAACAATGGGAATTATTACATTCTCACAAAATCAACCTGACATTAAGGGACAAAAGTAAATTCCTGAAAAAATTTCTGTAAATTGAACCTGTACAAATGGAATCATTTTTAAACACTGTTTATAGTCGCACAGACCCACTGACACTCAAGTAGTATGCACACATGCAAAACAAATTCTTTTGATATGAAATAACTGCTCCCCATTTTATCTTTTATAATTTAGGATTTTTGTGTACTGTGTTCTCTAAAAAACTGTGTCTCTATAGTATTTGAATATAATGCATAATGGTTTTTGCAGAGTACAGTATTTATGCTGACACTAAATTATAACAGCATATCCTCATGGTAACTTTATGTGATGGATGGGAAGCCTGTCCACTGGTCCTGAAAACTCATCTGGTAATTCTTTTGTTGTCATTGTTGTTATTTTGGTAATTATGTCGGTATACAGGTAACAGAACCTATGGGTGACAACATATAGGTATATATGTAACACAACATTTACCATTTCTACAACTGATAATTCTTTTTATTTATTGTTGTAGTTTAAGTTTACATTTCAAGTTAGTCTCCCATACAAAAATTTATACACAGTTATGTAAACCTAATTGATCTCCCCTTACTGTGACAGCACACTCCTCCTTTCTACCCCTGATTTCCCATGTCCATTCAACTACCTCCTAGCCCTCTCTAACTTCCCATCTCACCTCCGGACAGAAGCTGCCCGGTTAGTCTCTTGTATCTACTTGAACTAAGAGGCACACTCCTCATGAGTATCACTTTATGTCCCACAGTCCAGTCCAATCCCTGTCTGAAGAATTGGCCTCAGAACTTGTTTTAGTTCTGAGCTGATAGAGAATCCAGGGGCGATGCTTTCTGGGGTTCCTCCAGTCTCATTCAGACCATTAAGTCTGGTCTTCTTACTAGAATTTGAGTTCTGCACCCCACCTTTCTCCTGCTCCCTCCGGGACTCTCTGTTGTGTTCCCTGTCAGGGCGGTCATTGCTGGTAGCCAGGTACCATCTAGTTCTTCTGGTCTCAGGCTGATGAAGTCTCTGGTTTATGTGGCCCTTTCTGTCTCTTGGGCCAATTCTTTCCTTGTGTTTTTGGTGTTCTTCATGCTCCTTTACTCCAGGTGGCTGGGACCAATTGATGCATCTTAAATGGGCGCTTGCAAGCTTTTAAGATGCCAGCCGCCACTTAAGTGGTGCAGAACATGTTCTTAATAAGCTTTGTTATGCCAGTTGACCTAGGTGTCCTCTGAAAGCATGGACCCCAGACCCCTACCCCTGCTACTCTGTCCCTCAAAGTGTTTGACTGTATTCAGGAAACTTCTTAGCTTTGGTTTCATCCAGTATAACTGATAATTCTTGATTAAGGAAACATCATTCCGTGTGGACCAGGTCCAAGGGCCTGATCTGATTTTTACTCCCTTTTTTGTTTCCTCTATTTCCCAGGATAGGCAAGCCAGAGGAGTGTGCAGGCATGGTGTCTTTCCTGTGCTCTGAAGATGCCAGCTACATCTCTGGAGAGACAATGGCGGTGGCTGGAGGGGCCCCTTGCCGCCTCTGAGGACATGGAGAGAACCCACCAGCGCAGAGGCTGGGCTCCAACTCCTGGGTTCTGTTCCAGCAACCATACACAAGCCTTTCCCACGTCTGCCTATCATATTGTTCACCTTATACCCCATCCCCCTACCCCCAAATCTATTCTGCCTCCTGAAGAGACAGCCTTTTCTGCAGTCAACGTGTGATCTTACTAGGACCGGCGCTCTTGCTGTTGCCCTGGATAAAGGCTACCTCTGAGACCACAGGGCAGCCCTGCTCAGAAGGCTGAGTTTATCTTGGCAAAGACCAACTAGTATTTTTGTCTGGGCATCTGGGGAGTTTGAGAGGAGATGAGAGACAAGGGATCTGGAATGGAAGGAGCAGAGTTGGAAATTAACAACTTGCAAATGAGATGCAAATAAAATGCAGATGATCGTGTTGCTTTGAATCAATGTATTCCTTTTTAGGTGTGAGGTGGTTAGGTATGGTAGCTGGGCAGAGAACAGGCAGTCTGGGCTGCCGGATCCCCCTAACTCACCTCCCTGCCTCCAAGACCTGGCGTGACGCTGAGGTGGGGGTGTCTGCAGAGTTGCCAGCTGGGAGCAAGTGGTCTGGGAACTCCCAGGTGCTACTCTCAACCTCGCACCCCATCAAATGGTGCCAGGGACGCCACAGGGATCCCCGAAGCTGGACAAGCAGGAAAAGAAGGACGAACTCCCCAGATCTGGCCAGGTCCTCTCCTGGAATCACCCTCGGCCGCAAGCCCCCTCCCAGGTCGGCAGAGGAAAGGGAGGAACCCTGGAAGGATAACCCGGGGAGGAATACGCAAGCCCATGAACAAAAGAAATAGGCTCTGCCCAGTGTCTGAGGAGTGGGTGACAGGGAAAGCAGTGACGCTGCTCCTGCTCGAAGATGACGCGGACACCAGGCTATTCACACTGGGTCTTGCACGCAGGAGCCGGAGCTGTGGCGGTTCGGCGCGAACGCGCGCATGCTCCATCGAGAAACTGTCGGGCTGGGGAAGGAGCGCTGACGCAGCCGCCCCTGACCGGAGCGGGCTTGGCCGCTGCGGCAGCGCTCCGCGCCGGGGTCCTGCCGGAGTCCAGTCTAGCATGTGCCGCGGCTCCCCGGCGGCTCCTCTGCAGCAACAGCAGCAGCGGCCGCCATGGCCAAGCCCAAGCTCAGCGGGGAGCTCACCCGCGAGCTACAAGGTACTTGCTGTCGAGGTCTCCGGGACGCCCCGTCCGGGAGCATCCCAGACCCAGTTCATCCTCCCCGCGGTACGCCCCAGCCCTGGTGCCTCCCACGTCCTTCCCACCCGCATGCATCCTGGCTCCACAGCAACCCCTGCCCCTGCATCCCAGCTTGGGCATCACTGTCCCCGGAGCATCCTCTGCTGCCGCCTCTCGCCTCACCGTCAAGACCTTCCTTGTCCCGCAACCTCCCATCTCGCTCTTCGGTGACGGGTGCAGTCCCCTTGGGCTCCTGAGGCTGTCAGCCCTCCGGGCCCACTCCTCAGCATGGCGTCCAGTCGCCCCTCTGGGGAGCCCCCGCTTTCCTGCTGAGAGAGGCCAGACCGGCCCCGCAGGGAAGTGGGAGCTGCCCCCGGTCCTGACCGTGCTTGGCTCTACTCCCTACCTCCTCACGGCCCCGCCCTGGAACTTGCCCTGGAGAGCCCCCTCCCAGGAGCCCGGCAGCGCCCAGGCTAGCAGGGCAGAGAACGGAGTCAGGGAACGGGCCCTGGACTGGAGCGAAAACCTAGATTAGGGTCTCTGCGGCCCGTCCCCACCATCCCCGTCCTCGGCCAACCCCCTCGCGCTAGCCCCTGACCTACCTCAAGTCCTCTCATGTTTGCATGGTTCTCAGACTCAGCCCAAACCAAAGCCCAAGCCCCTAGCACTGCCAAACCCTGTCTCCCAGAGGCGGGAGCAAAGGCTAGCCCACACAAACACCAGGACGCTCAAGGATACTCAGAGGCATGCTGTACAGTGGCGATTTCCCACACCTCCACACACACAAGCACAATCATGAGATGTGTGTACACACAACTTTACAGAAACCGCACCCCCCCCTCCCCCCACTCTACAGGGTATCTGGATGGCTCTGCCAGCAGATGGGTATGGGACTCATTTAAACACTTAACTTTTCCCTACCTTCCAACCACCCCCCCCAACACACACACCAGACCCGCTGGCTCTGTGCCCCTTTTAACAACAGCAAGCACAGCAAACTCATTCACACTTCTCCATCCCCACCAATGCCACACACACACACTCCCTGGCACCTTCAGACAGCATGCACACACTGGTAATAAAAGGCAAACACACACACCCAGACCACCTAGGATATAGTCAAAGGGACACCTCCATGCCCCACACACTGACTCACTGTGTATGTGCCTACAGGTGCTGTAGTGCATGCGTTGCGAATATCCTTCACACTCTCAGAAGAGTAAGACACCCTCCCTCAGACAGTGGCATTCAGCGACTATCCCCTGACTCAGGGACATCAGGAGCCAGAGTTTTCTCCACACTTAACCTCTAATAAGAGAAAAATCACCCAAGAAGGATCGATCTCTGCCACTGCCCTTTGTCTGTTTCTCTCCTCCCATCTGGCCCTGCCCCTGCCTCTATCTTAGAGCCCTGGGGAGGTAGGCGAGGGGACGGCCAGGATAGAAGGAGCTCTGAGCAGGCGCCCACCCACCTGCAGACAGCATCCGGAGGTGCCTGAGCCAAGGGGCTATGCTCCAACAGCACCGCATGAAGCTGGAGACCAAACCCAGGAAGTCTGAGGACCGAGTGCTGGTGAGGGCAGGGAGCCTGG